AAATACACTTTAAAATAAAGACTATTACAAGAGACAAAGAAGGACACTACATAATGATCAAGGGATCAATCCAAGAAGAAGATATAACAATTGTAAATATTTATGCACCCAGAATAGGAGCACCTCAATACATAAGGCAAATGCTAACAGCCATAAAAGAGGAAATCAACAGTAACACAATAATAGCAGAGGACTTTAACACCCCACTTTCACCAATGGACAGATCATCCAAAATGAAAATAAATAAGGAAACACAAGCTTTAAATGATACATTAAACAAGATGGATTTAATTGATATTTATAGGACATTCCATCCAAAAACAACAGAATACACTTTCTTCTCAAGTGCTCATGGAACATTCCCCAGGATGGACCATATCTTGGGTCACAAATCAAACCTTGGTAAATTTAAGAAAATTGAACTCTTATCAAGTGTATTTTCTGACTACAATTCTATGAGACTAGGTATCAGTTACAGGAAATAATCTGTAAAAAACACAAACACATGGAGGCTAAACAATACACTACTAAATAACCAAAGATAACTGAAGAAATCAAAGAGGAAATAAAAAATACCTAGAAACAAATGACAATGAAAGCACGAAGACCCAAAACCTATGGGATGCAGCAAAAGCAGTTCTAAGAGGGAAATTTATAGCAATACAATCCTACTTCAAGAAACAAGGAACTTCTCAAATAAACAACCTAAACTTACAACTAAAGAAATTAGACAAAGAAAACAAACAAGCTCCCCCCAAAGTTGGCAGAAGGAAAGAAATCATAAAGATCAGTTCAGAAATAAATGAAAAAGCAATGAAGGAAACAATAGCAAAGATCAATAAAACTAAAAGCTGCTTCTTTGAGAAGATAAACAAAATTGATAAACCATTAGCCAGATTCATCAAGAAAAAAAGGGAGAAGACTCAAATCAACAGAATTAGAAATGAAAAAGGAGAAGTAACAACTGACTCTGCAGAAATACAAAGGATCATGAGAGATTACTACAAGCAACTATATGCCAATAAAATGGACAACCTGGAAGAAATGGACAAATTCTTAGAAAAGCACAACCTTCCAAGAATGAACCAGGAAGAAATAGAAAATATAAACAGACCAATCACAAGCACTGAAATTGAAACTGTGATTAAAAATCTTCTAAAAAACAAAAGCTCAGGACCAGATGGCTTCACAGGTGAATTCTATCAAACATTTAGAGAAGAGCTAACATCTATCCTTCTCAAACTCTTCCAAAATATAGCAGAGGGAGGAACACTCCCAAACTCATTCTATGAGGCCACCATCACCCTGATACCAAAACCAGACAAAGATGTCACAAAGAAAGAAAACTACAGGCCAATATCACTGATGAACATAGATACAAAAATCCTCAAAAAAATACTAGCAAACAGAATTCAACAACACACCATACACCATGGTCAAGTGGGGTTTATCCTAGGAATGCAAGGATTCTTCAATATATGCAAATCAATCAATCTGATAAACCATATTAACAAATTGAAGGAGAAAAACCATCTCAATAGATGTAGAAAAAGCTTTCAACAAAATTCAACACCCATTTATGATAAAAACCCTCCAGAAAGTATGCATAGAGGGAACTTACCTCAAGATAATAAAGGCCATATATGACAAACCCACAGCCAACATCGTTCTCAATGGTGAAAAACTAAAACCATTTTCACTAAGATCAGGAACAAGACAAGATTGCCCACTCTCACCACTATTATTCAACATAGTTTTGCAAGTTTTAGCCACAGCAATCAGAGAAGAAAAAGAAATAAAAGGAATCCAAATCAGAAAAGAAGTAAAACTGTCACTGTTTGCAGATGACATGATACTATACATAGAGAATCCTAAAGATGCCACCAGAAAACTACTAGAGCTAATCAATGAATTTGGTAAAGTAGCAGGATACAAAATTAATGCACAGAAATCTCTTACATTCCTATATACTAATGATGAAAAATATGAAAGAGAAATTAGGGAAACTCTCCCATTTACCATCACAACAAAAAGAATAAAATACCTAGGAATAAACCCACCTAAGGAGACAAAAGACCTGCATGCAGGAAACTATAAGACACTGATGAAAGAAATTAAAGATGATACAAACAGATGGAGAGGTATACCATGTTCTTGTATTGGAAGAATCAATATTGTGAGAATGAGTATATTACCCAAAGCAATCTACAGATTTAGTGCAATCTCTATCAAACTACCAATGGCATCTTTTACAGAACTAGAACAAAAAACGTCACAATTTGTATAGAAAAACAAAAGACCCAAAATAGCCAAAGCAATCTTGAGAATGAAAAACGGAGCTGGAGGAATCAGGCTCCCTGACTTCAGACTATACTACAAAGCTACAGTAATCAAGACAGATGGTACTGGCACAAAAACAGAAATATAGAGCAGCGGAACAGGATAGAAAGCCCAGAGATAAACCCACGCATATATGGTCACCTTATCTTTGATAAAGGAGGCAAGAATATACAATGGAGAAAAAACAGCCTCTTCAATAAGTGGTGCTGGGAAAACTGGACAGCTATATGTAAAAGAATGAAATTAGAACACTCCCTAACACCATACACAAAAATAAACTCAAAATGGATTAAAGACCTAAATGTAAGGCCAGATACTCTTAAACTCTTAGAGGAAAACATAGGTAGAACATTCCATGACATAAATCACAGCAAGATCATTTTTGACCCACCTCCTAGAGAAATGGAAATAAAAACAAAAATAAATGGGAACTAATGAAACTTAAAAGCTTTTGCACAGCAAAGGAAACCATAAACAAGATGAAAACACAACCCTCAGCATGGGAGAAAATATTTGCAAATGAAGCAAACCACAAAGGATTAATCTCCAAAATTTACAAGCCGCTCATGTAGCTCAATATCAGAAAAACAAACAACCCAATCCAAAAATGGGCAGAAGACCTAAATAGACATTTCTCCAAAGAAGATATGTAGATTGCCAGCAAACACATGAAAGAATGCTCAACATCGTTAATCATCAGAGAAATGCAAATCAAAACTACAATGAAGTATCACCTCACACTGGTCAAAATGGCCATCATCAAAAAATCTACAAATAGTAAATGCTGGAGAGGGTGTGGAGAAAAGGGAACCCTCTTGCACTGTTGGTGGGAATGTAAATTGATACAGCCACTATGGAGAACAGTATGGAGGTTCCTTAAAAATCTAAAAATAGAACTACCATATGACCCAGCAATCCCACTACTGAGCATATACTCTGAGAAAACCGTAATTCAAAAAGAGTCATGTACCACAATGTTCATTGCAGCTCTATTTACAATAGCCAGGACATGGAAGCAACCTAAGGGTCCCTCAACAGATGAACAGACGAGGAAGATGTGGCACATATATACAATGGAATATTACTCAGCCATAAAAAGAAACAAAATTGAGTTATTTGTAGTGAGGTGAATAGACCTAGAGACTATCATACAGAGTGAGGTAAGTCAGAAAGAGAAAAACCAATACCGTATGCTAACACATATATGTGGAATCTAAAAAAAAAAAAAAGGTTTTGAAGAACCTAGGGGCAGGACAGGAGTAAAGACATAGACGTAGAGAATGGACTTGAGGACACGGGGAGGGGGAAGGGGAAGTTGGGACGAAGGGAGAGAGTGGCATGGACATATATACACTACCAAATGTAAAATAGATAGCTAGAGGGAAGCAGCCACATAGCACAGGGAGATCAGCTTGGTGGTTTGTGTCCTCCTAAAGGTGTGGGATAGGGAGGGTGGGAGGGAGATGCAAGAGGGAGGAGATATGGGGTTATATGTGTATGCATAGCTGATTCACTTTGTTACACAGCAGAAACTAACACACCATTGTAAAGCAATTATACTCCAATAAAGATGTTAAAAAATAATAAAATCTGTTTCTTTTTGTGTAAAAAAGCCTCACTGCTGTTTGAAACATTTCAACAACAACAAAAAAAATTCCCTATATGACTACACCATTTCCGTCGTCGAAGCCACACACGAGTTTCATTTAGAGCTTCAACCTGATCTTTAGGTATTTTCCCTTAAATGGTGAGACGTGGTTTAAGTGCAGAGCGCTTCAGCCTAGTGCACTGTTGGGTTGACCTCCGTTCTCCTGACTTTACTCCGTTTGGTGACTAAAGAGTTGTTCTGGTAACAGATACAACGCAGAAAAAAAAGGGGAACACTGCCGTGACTCGGATTCGAACCGAGGTTGCTGCGGCCACAACGCAGAGTACTAACCACTATACGATCACGGCGCGCTACTGAGCCGGCGGCGAGGCTAGTTTTTGCGTTACTACTTTTAGTATAAATTGATTCCAATTATTTAGCTGTTCTGTTGTTGAAAACTGCAAGTATTCGTGAGTTTCCCTCTCGTCTTCCCTCCGTTATTCCCTTCGCATTCTGATGCATTTCTCATCTCCCCTGCGTCCAGCCGGTGCCTCAGATCAGGTCTCCTGGGAAGTATCTTTGCTTTGTCCTTGCCTCCCTTGCTTCATTCCCTCCTCCTTACATTTCCTCTTTTGACCAACCCTCCCCACCGCCTTCTTCCGGCTCCCGGCCCACCTACCTTGGCTGAGCTGAGGGAGGGCAGCGCCAGTGGCTCAGACTGTCGGGTGAAGGCGGAGCAAAGAACCGAAAGAACCGTTATGAGCCCATGGGGCATTCAGCTTCCCTTGAGTCCCACTCGGCTCAAGCCCGGGGTGTCGCGGCCCCGGGCAACTCCGGGGCACTGGCATCTGCGGCGGGTGTGGAGCAAGGTGCGGCGGGGACGCTTGGCTGCCTTTCTGCCTTCGGAATCGCCCAACGCACGGCTTTCCCACGAGTTTCTCTGGTTTTCCGAGGCTTTGGAATCAGCACAACTGTTCTGCGAAAGGCGGGTGGCTCCGCCTAAAGTGGAAGGCGTGCTTGCTCTCTGTGGGATGAGGTGGGGAAGCAGGGAGAGGGAAGGTAAAGCTCAGGTGTCTCTGTGGCGCAATCGGTGAGCGTGTTCGGTTATTAATCGAAAGGTTGGAGGTTCAAGCCCACTCAGAGACGCCCCTCATGGCTTTTTTAGGATGTAATTAAAGGGTTTGCAGTTATTTCTGTCTTGCACATCCTTTCACATAAACTTGAAGCTAGGCCTCTATTACCCTCCTTTTCACCTATGTCTTGTCCATAACAAGAGAACCTAAGCCGAGATCATCGCTGATCCTCACAGAAGAGCTCTGAAGGAAACAGGTAGGTCACTTTGTCATCTCATCATTACCCTCTGGGTTCCTTTTAACAGTGAAGTTTCGTCCCTTGTTTGTACTAGTATTTATTGAGCCCTTTACATATAACTTTGAAATTAATTTGCTTATATGCTTTTATTATTACGAACAATACTGCAGTCATCATTCTTGTACACATGCCTATGGTTAGAGTGCCTGAAGCACAATTGTTTTATGAGATATACACGGTTTTCTGTAAATGGTTCCATTCTCTCCCCTTTGTTGGCTTATTAGCTATAACTCTTTATTTTGTTATTTCAGCGGCAGCTTTAGGCTTTAGAGCAGACATCTGTAACTTACCACAGCCTGCCTTCAAGTGATGTCTTCACTTTTCTCCCCTGCTTGCCTTTATGCTATCGTTGTCATTCATTTTACTTTGAGTATGTTATAAACCCCACAACCCAAGGTTATTACTTTTCTTTAAACTGTACCATGTTTTTAAAGAGATTTAAATAATAAGGGGAAAAAGGTTATATATTTTTCACGCAGATACCATTTCTGTTGTCCTTCATCCCTTTGTGTATATGGAGATTTCCCTCTGATGTGAGCTTCTTTCTTCCTGGAGGACTGCTTTAACCTTTCTTGTGGTTTGGGTTGCTGGTGATGAAGTCTTTCAGCAATTGTATGTCTGTAAATATCGTTATTCACCTTTATTGTTGAAAGACTTTTTTGAGGATAGGAGCCATAGAATTCCACGTTGACTTTTTTCTCTCAGTTCTTTAAAGATGTTGCTCCACTGTCTTTTTCACTTGCTGCAGTGCTTCTGATGAGAAATCTGACGTTACATTTATTTTCTGTATGTAGCATGTGTTATCCCTCTGGCTGCTTTTGAGATTTTTTTCCCAACTGATTTGAGCAATTTAATTATTATGTGACTAGGTGTGGTCTTCTTCATATTTATTGTGCTTGAGGATCACTTGACTCCTTGGATCAGTGGTTTATAATCTTAATTGTGGCTGGAAAATTTTCTGTCATTGCTTCTAAAAAATGAGTCTGATACAAAGCAAATCTGATACATGGTAGCAGTAGGTCCTGAGGAGGATCAGCAGACCCATGTAAGGCAACTACTCAGATGTTATAGGGAGACTTTCGAGCTTCTTCAGGTAAGTGGAGGTAACCTACTCAAACAAGGGAGGAAGGGCTGCTTCTCAGGTAACCTGAGGCTCGGGGCAATTTAGGGTTTCAAGAGCCCCACCTTCATCAGAATCAATCCATAAGACCCCATCCCAATGATACCAATCCTTCTTAATAAATTCCCTGACTTTAACATAAGAGATTCTGTGATGTTGAAAATTCAATTTAGGTTTAGTTTGCAGAGCTCGGGCCTACAGTGATACTACTAGACAAGGTTTTAAGTTTGTTTTGTTTTAAATACGGTTATAGAATCTTTCAGGTCCCTAACCTAAATCTTGAGCTAGGAACTTAGGACCTTGAGCTCATCATTTTGTTTCCCCAATTCCTCCAGTTTACATGTAAGTAACCAACCCATCATACTCATATCTTCACTAAAATGTTCTATGGCAGCAACTCTTTGACCACTCTAATCCTTACTTTCTATGAGAATCTAAATACAGGTGTCTGCAGACGATGATTTGGGAAAATGTTTTGCTACTGCATGCCATGAACTGAAAGTGTTCTCTGACATCAGGGTCATTAATAATTTCACATCTAATCAGGTCCAAGATCCAATTCCAGATGATATGGAACCACTCCATTTATTATCACTCAATTCTAACCAAGGGTGTCTCTACAACAATGCTAAACATAGAACAATGGCACCACACAAAGATGACTAGGAACTTCAGCATACTGGATTTCTGCTACCATGCCACTTTCTTGTGCCCACACACACAAACCCAAACACACATCTTACTCCCTCCACCCAAATATTAAATCAGGCATTTGTACTACCTAGGTTTTCAACAAAACAAGGCAAGGCTTGAACCACCTTGGAGGCCTCAGTTTTCTGTCCCACTTGCCTCACCATCCTTCTACTTCCTCTCATTAGATTTTCATTTATTCCTGCCCTCCTGCAGCATGTCCTTCTTCAAGCCCCTGGCCCTCTCTCTCAGGAACAGGGGGTAAATGGAGAATTATGATATTGTTGACATTACTACAGGCTTGTTCCCTGGATAGACATCAACTCAAAGAAGAGCATTTGTCCATCCCAGGGTATTTTGTAGAAAAAAAGCTTAGAAAACTAACACTTGAATATTTGCTTTTCCTACAAAGGGAAATTTGAAGTGACACTGCTGGCAGCTGTGAAGTTAGCTCTGGGTGTTAAGCTAAAATGGAAGCCTTTGCATTCACCATGGGGCTGAGGAGAAATGGCAGTCAAAACTGGTTGGAAGGAGGCTTCTGAATCCATAAGACATATCACTTCTACCAAAGAGAAGTAATGTTTCCACTTCTCAGTTTGTAGATGGAATTTACAGAAGCTTTCATTCTGAGGGAGGTAAGGAACAAGTTATGGGAGGGCAGTTGACCGTCAGTCTCGCCTTGAAATCATTTAACTAACAGGTATTCTCATGAGCCCCAAAATGTGTTCCATGACATGACTTCCTCTGTCATGTCTCCAATGTCTGAAGCCTCCCCAGGCTCCCAAAGCTAGAGAAGTTTGAAAGAGGAGAGAATGAAAGAGACACAAGCCTAGGTTCTTGTAAGCACATTCTAGAGTATGGTACAAAGACTTCAGGGTCACCAGTCCCTTGGGCTATCAACTAAGTGGGTTTGGTGGCATAAACCTACCTGGAATCAAAGCTTCCTTTTGAATCTTTTCAGGTAGATTCTCTACATGGTTGAGTTTTGCTGTCATTTCAGCAGTTATCTCATCCTCTTTGCCCTTATCGTTTAAATCAGATAACAAAAAGCCCTAATTAGTAGAGTGTCGGTGGACATAATAGAAATATTTTCATCTAAGCTCTGGAAATTAAAGGTAAAATTTGCCCTCAAAGTAGTTTTCTTATGTTGTCAGCATTTGGTTCTTTGTAACTGTGTATCCTTGGAAGGCAGGCTTGGTGTGCTCCAAACTTGTTTCCAGCTCTTGCTTAGTTCAGTGAGCTTAGATCTATCTCTAGAGTTCCTTTGGAGTCCAAGGATGCAAGATGTCTCTTATATTTCTTGTATTTCAAACATGACCTTTCTGAAAAGAGCACATTGTATTTTTAAAAAAAAAGTGATTCTACCCAGTTTTTGAGTGAACATTTTTCACGTTGAGGCAACCTCTCCACTGTAGTGCCCCACTCCTTCCTGAATTCAGTGCTGCCTGCTGTGTCCAAATTTAGGGCATGTGATGTCCAAAATTCAACTGCATTCTACACCAGGAGCAATATCTCCATGAGAGCTCAGCACTCCATAGGCTCTTGCTTTGGGGCTGTATTGCCTTTCCCTGGAAGAAAGGGCCCAGGATTTTCACAACCTGGATTCAGAATCCCACATCTCAGTCGGGACTCCTGATTTGAGAACAGAACACCAACTGAAAGTTTTCACCACTTGGACCTTGGAGCTCCTGGAAGCTGCGGGAGCTAGGGGACGTGCACAGATCAGAGGCATGAGACAGCTCCTTGCAAGCCAGGAACTGTGGGACTCCTCCCCTCCCCCACCTTTTCCTTCCTCTTCATTACATTGCTCTGCCAGGTCATTCCTCTCAAATTTCAGTGCCTCTTTCTTGTCTTTCTCTCAGAAATAGGAGCTCTCTCTGGCTCTTGTCACTTTGTTCTATTTGATCAAATTTCAAGTCTAATACTTTAACCAGGCCTTCATGTTTTAAACAGTTCCCTAGCCAAGGCTGAAGGTCTCAGGGCATTTGGCTGCTTTAAAATGGTGAATATCTGTTCCAAGTCAGCCCTTGATTACATGTTTGAATTGGACAGAAGACCAGCCATGAAGCCAAGTGTCAATTATTCACATCACTGGGCCACCACCTAGTGCAGGGCCAAGCCAAGGACCAGGAAACACAGACTACCATGTTGACTCTACTTTCTCTTCTTTCAACTTTAGATTCTTTGTTTTGATGTAGATAATGATGTTTTCTAAGGGAGCAATTGCGTTTCTATCTTCCCAATACCTGTGTCATCTAGTTTCCTGTCTTTAATTTACTTTCATATGTGTGTATTTGTTTATTTATGCTGACCTACAGGTCATCAAGTGAGATATTTTACTCAGGATTAAGGAAAGCATAAAAGACAGAGAAGCTTCCTTAAGACAACTAAAGTTTGTTCCCTTGGTTGGTTCTTCTTACAGGAAAGTATCTCAGATGGAAAGCAGGCAGAAACTGCTTTTGTGAAAGACTTTCATGTATCCTTTTTCTCAAGGGTGTCTATGGAAGGACAAGGGAAAAAAATCAAGCGTGTCCTTGGATTCCTCTGGGATCCTGGATATAGAAGCTTGGTTACTACCCTATGTTGGGGAGAGGCACAGTTGAATATGAACCACAAATCAGGATGCCTCAGACTGGAGCCAGGACCATTTAAGACCAAGCACCATTGTTACCTGGGTTGTTAAAGCATAGATTCCGTAATTAAATGTTAAATAATCTAAATATATGAAAGTCACTTAACAGTTCCAGGGTGATTTAGAGTAGAACAATGTTGTGTTCCTCCAGAAACTTGTCTTACTAATCTCCAGATTCTCAAAAAGACATTCCCAAACTATTTTTTTAAAATTTAATGAGGTTATCTTATTTTTTAAAAAACAGACTAAGCACCATTATTACAAGGCACCACCTACCTGACAGCAGTGATACAGACAATTCTGGAAAGCTCTTGAGAATTATCCCCTACTTTT